CGCACATACCACATCTTTATCCAGTCATCTGTCAATAGACATTTGGGTTGTTTCCATGTCTTGGCTGTTGTAAATAGTGCTGCTGTGAACATTGGGGTATCATGGTCACTGTTGTATCCTAAGGGATTGGGGTAAAATCAGCACTAAATGAATATTTGCTGGATGTGTGAAGATTGTATATCTTCATCATCTGGTATAATTCATTATATATATATATAGTAGATCTTGGAAAAAAATGAGTTGCTGAAAGAGTGGGGATCCACTTTTAAAACATGCTTGTTTTTCTGGTTTTTGACAGTTTGCTCTTGGGTCAGTGGTGGCAGTCACCAAGGCATCTGGGGGCCTACCACAGTTTGGTGATGAGTATGATTTTTACCGAAGTTTTCCTGGCTTCCAGGCATTTTGTGAAACACAGGGAGACAGGTTGCTTCAGTGGTAAGTACTGTATATTGTTTTTCTCATGTTGAAAGAAATGAATATAAAGAAATAAATGATTTTTTCCTGAAATTCATTTTTTCTTACCATAATTTTCTGTTTGGAGCTAAAAAATGTAAAAAGGAGACAATGGATTTTGAGTAGGGAAGTGTTACTTGGTAAATTTTGAGTTTAACTTTAAATATATATATAGACTATTGCAACTATAGACAATGAATCTTTCTGAATTAACATGGGACTTGAAAACCTAGATCCACGATTCTCTCACACAACTTGCAGAGTCACAACTATTAGCTTTCTAATAAATGAATTAGGACAGACAATATACAAACATTGATTTTGTTTAACTGTTGCATGACAGAATTAGAGAATCTATTTTAGAGTTCATGTTAAAACAATGCAGAGTACATTATTTATATAGTGTTGTATATATTTTTTAGAATCTAGAGGAAGCATCAGGGTCATTTCTTCTACCTCTTCAAATAACGGATGAGGAAAATAAGTCTTAGTGACATTTAGTGAATTGCCCAAGGCCACACAGCTAGCAATGTTTTTTGCTCTAAGGCTACAGGTTTTATTAGTTTGATCAAAAAGTATTGGGAATAGTCTGAGTCAAGCCTTGTGAGCTTTCTTCCAGACTGTAAACAGGTGAACAAAAGTATACAAACTAACATTGGTTTTCCTGTCCTTCCTAGCATGAGTAGGGTAATGCAATACCATGGGTGTCGAAGCAACATTAAGGACCGGAGTAAAGTGACTGAGTTGGAGGACAAGTTTGATTTGCTAGTTGATACCAATGATGTTATTCTGGAAAGAGTGGTGAGTATTTCACCTTACTCTTAAGACAACTAACAAATGAAGAGCTTTTGAATTATTAAAATATGAAAAAATACCCAAGCACCTCAGAAAATGAAAAGAAAGGAAATTGAAGTTTCCTGCACGTAACAACATTCCCTTCCTCTGATAATTGGCTTCTTTTTCCCAAAAATAGCAGTTGTCTTCAAGTATATCACTTCAAAATATCACTGCTCAGGGGACACCTATTTTTCAAGTGCCTTATTAGAAATCTACCTTCCAGATTTGCAAATCCCAGTTTGTTGCAAGAGAAGAGGCCTCTAGATACAGAACCCAACCAAAATGTAGTCTGTTTTTACTGTTGTACACTGTCTGCTGAACACCCTGACTTGCATGATTGGAAGGATCATTCGATCTAGCTGACTATTCATGCCTAATTCTACAGCAGAACATCATTTAGAGACACACACACAGATTGTCCGAAACAAATCTAACCTCAACCATCTGACAGTCCTGCAGATATTTATGTGGTGCTCTCCTGACCTGGGAAGTCATCTCTCCCATAGTCCAAACACCCACAGGTCTTTCCGTGGTTTCTCATTTTCTATGATTTCAAGTCCTGCCACGCTGCCATTTGTCACCCGAGTGCACTTCTGTTCCTGGTGCACAAACTGAGACTCCACGTCTGCTTCTGCAAAGTAGATGAGGACACCTTTCATTCTCACTCTAAATACCATCCCTCAATGTTTAATATATGCATCTAGGGTCTTGTTAGTTATTTTGGTGGGCCACATCATACTCTTAAGTCACTTTTTTTTTAACTGTTCAGTTTCTTTTTTAAAATATTTCATTTATTTTTATGATCGCATTATTCTTTTCTTTCTTTTTTTTTGTTTTTGTGAGGGGTGGAGGTAATTAGATTTATTTATTTTTAATGGAGGTACTAGAGATTGAACCCAGGACCTCGTGCATGCTAAGCACGTGCTCTACCACTGAGCTATATCCTACCCCCTGTTAAGTCACTTCTGAATTTTCTTCCCAATTCAGGACTATAAAGAGTTGATCCAGGGTTGGGAGTGTCTGATTGTTGCCCTGTCTTTCAGCAAACAGTGCTCTAATTACTTGGGATGACTCTAATCACCTCTCCTGCAGCGAACCACTCTTACAAGTGTATATGCTCACACATAATTTCCTGAATGTATTTTGTACAAATTTTAGGTATTAGCTCTGTTAACCCTGAAAGAACAATACTAAACTAATACCTCTTCTGCTCTCAGGGTATCTTACTGGATGAAGCAGCAGGTGTGAATAAGAATCAACAGCCTGTCCTCCCTGCAGGATTACAGGTCCCCAAAACAATAGTGTCCAGCTGGAACCGGAAGGTGAGGGCTGCTTTTCAGATTAACTAGAACTTCTGATGTCAGCTTTATGTAGGGCCTTTGCCTGTTCTAATTTGCATTTCTTCTAATTTATTGGACATAGAACTGGCCACTGCCTAACTTGTTCTCATAAACAGACACGACCTAATCACATCACTCTTGTTTACTTTGCTCCCCCAAGTCTCACACACACATACATTCTTTAAAGAATTGTCCTTGGAATGCTTTTGTCTTCTTGGAAGGCCTAAATTGGAATTTACTTTTCTAATTCATCAAGTTGCTGTGTTATAAAATATTTGTTCTTACTGGTCATAGGCAGGAGAATATAGCAAAAAAACAAAATCTGAAACTTTCCGGCTGCTTCATGCAAAAAACATCATCCGACCTCAGCTTAAATTCCGAGAAAAGATTGACAATTCCAACACGCCATTCCTTCCCAAAATCTTCATCAAGCCCAATGCTCAGAAACCCCTCCCTCAGGGTAAGTAGTGCCACCTCTGCCCAACAAAGACAAATGACAGGGGAAAGGTCTCCCTCCCACCTTCCTTCCTTCAAATTCAAAGGGAGTCAGTTAATGCTCCATTACTAGACAAGATGTGAATGTTTTTGTCACTGCTTGGGTCTCCAGCACTCTCTAAAGAAAGGCGGGAGCGCCCACAGGATCGCCCTGAGGACTTGGATGTGCCCCCTGCCCTGGCGGACTTCATCCATCAGCAGAGAACCCAGCAGGTGGAGCAGGACATGTGAGTGTTTGCCTGTCTGAGCTTTCTGCTATGAGTACTTAGTGCCGCATTTTCACTCAGTTTCACTTTTGTAAAATGTGTAGATGAAAGCAGAGTCTGAGGAGTGGGTGACTCTTCATCTTTTCCTGACACGGATCTCAAACCTGCTTGTGTTCACTGAGGGCCTCATGCAAGCAGCATCTTCTGTCGCCCTCCCACAGTCCTGAGAGGTGGCAGTGGCTCTCGTCCCCCTTGTAGAGATGAGAAAACAAAGTTAGAGATGCTCACTTCCCACAGAACTACAACTTTAAACTCAAGTTTTCTTAAAATTGTCCTTCCTTTGTATCACTCTGCCCTTTCTTGTTAGGTAGGGACTCACACAGTAAGGTAAGGCTCATTAATAAATTCAGTTAAAAAAAAGAAAAAAAGGCATTTTTCACTGGTAGTATAAACATCTGGGAAAAACTTTGCTTAAAACCGACAAAAGGACTTTGCCTTCAGTATAAAGAAAAAAGGTGATGAAAACTTGGTGGGTGTTGGAGCAGAGTCTGTCTGAGCATTCATGCTTCCAGCCCTGGCTTTGCACCTTGAGGCCACCAGCTAAGTGCTAGAGAAATAAAGGTAATGAAAGGTGGCCCTGCCCTTAAGGAACCCAGAGGCAGGATTTTTATGCAAATATCTGATAGAGTAACAGGAAGAAATACATCATTTGGTATATTACCAACTCAGGTATTTGCCCCGTGCGCTGTCACTCACAGATTTATTATTCCAAACCACAAAATATATATTTCCTATTTCTGTTTCATTCACAGCAGCAGCCATACACTCTTTTGCAAATTAGTGCTCAAGTCTTTATAAATGAGTAGACTTTGAATTACCATACTTTAAGGGTGAACAAGTTTCCCCTAATTTTTTTTTGATGCACTTGAATTGTCATTGAAATAATGATGCTTTTTAAAGAGAGAAAATATTTTCATAGTGGTCTTGTTTGTTTTTATAAATTGGATTAGAGCAGTTGTTTTTCTTGAATCATGGTATTGATCACAAAGATTTTTTTGTTGTTGTTTTATTTATTCAGGTTTGCACATCCTTATCAATACGAACTAGATCACTTCACTCCACCAGATTCAGTCCTTCAAAAGCCAGAGCCTCAGGTAAGTGCCCAGCCTTAGTTGACGGACGGTGCCCGAGTAGCCCAGGAAAAATCACATAAATAGATGAGTGGACGTAATAGTGACTTTCCTTAACATTTATAAAGTAGAAGGTTATGGCTTTGGATCTTTTTTTAAAGTTTTATTTTGGAGAGGAGAGAAGTAAGCATCTTTTTTTTTAAATAGTGGTTCTGGGGGGTTGAACCCAGGACCTCATGCATGTTAAGCATGTGCTCTACCACTGAGCCATA